GAGCGTGAGGCGTGACGGGGGGACGTGTGGGGTGCGCGGCGCCCGGGGAGGGGGGCGAGAATGTGAGAGGTGTGGGGTGCCCAGCGCCCAGCTCCCAGGTGTGAGCAGGCTGTGGGGAGGGGTGGGAGCGGTGGGGTGCGTAGTGCGCAGCCCCTCCGCTGTGAGCAGGGGGCCCAGAGCTTGCGTGTGAGACATGTGGGGTGGGTGGTGTGCCCACCCCTCCGGGGCGAGCAAGGTATGGGGCGTGCGCGTGGGACGCGCGGGGTGCCCAGCCCCTCAGGACGGAGGTGCCGGGGTCCCCACGTGCCGTGCTCGCCCGCTGGTTCCCGTATCCCTGCCTTTCCCGCGCTGGCTCCAGCACCTCCGGATTGGGGCCAGCAGGTGCCCAGGAGGTGACTGTGCCACTGGAAATGCCACCACCGCTCTTGCCTTGGGACATGCCCTGCTGCCCTAGATCTGAGGGAGGCTTTCATCTACATTTAGATGCGGGTTTTCCCACCAACAGCTGAGAGCAGTGTTGTGGCCATTCAAAATATACTTGTAATTCAAAACAATTTAAATATAACTCGTACAGTCAATGCTGTGGCCGTCTTCCCACAGGAGACCTTTACCTGCACTTGATGTGGTGGATTTTTTTTTAGTACCCATGTAGTTGCTGGTAATCACATGAGTTATTGGGATACTTGATAACACACTCAGCTGCTCTTTTCCTAACCCTGTGGGTTTTTGTCGCTGTAAATAAAAATACATGCTTTGACAAATAGATGACTTTTCCAGTAAGTACACATATGTTTTACTCGTATTTTCAGAAAGGTTTAATCAATATGCAGTTAACACTTTTAAGACTGGTGTGATGAACAATGCATGTTTTTATGGTTGTGCATGGGGAATTTGGAAGTGGTCATGTAACTGTACATTTATCAGAGTGCGGGACACAAATCAGGTGAGAGAAAGATTTGTGTTTTTCTGCTACTTAGGTAATTCTGAGGTGAAATACAGCTGGCAAGCTGCTTAGCAGTGCTTAAGATAGCAGAGAATGTAAAGAATCCCTGCGGCAAAATGCTGCCTTATACTAATTAAAAGAAATGCAACAGCATAGGGAAAATCCCTGCATTTTGGAAATGGCAGCGTATAAGAGGACAAACATATATATAAAATGTATGCATGTATGTATATCCATATATACATGAAATGGGTAATACTACTTAGAACTGCAGTTTTGTTGTAACATAGCATGGGATAGAGGTGAAAGGTTTGACTATTTAAGAGTTCTAGTTTGAAGTAATAGAATTTCTTTAATCTTCCAGCAAGAAGAAAGTTCAGCCAAAGAAATTGACCAGCACTGTACAAATTAACTTTCTTTTTCTTTTTTATTAGTGGCGGCACCTGACTTGCTGGATCCCAAATCGGCCACTCAGAACTCCAAACCAAGATTATCATTTTCTACCAAGCCTACCGTGCTTTCTTCACGGGAGGAGAGTGATTCAGCTATTAATGTTATGAAATGGAAGACAGTCTCAACAATTTTTCTGGTGGTAGTCGTGTATTTAATAATTGGAGCAACAGTGTTTAAAGCCCTGGAGCAGCCTCATGAAACCTCCCAGAGAACCACCATTGTGATTCAGAAGCAGACGTTTGTATCTCAGCATTCCTGTGTGAATGCAACAGAGCTTGATGAACTCATTCAGGTAATCCACACAAAACCGTACCTCGTCACCATGCCTTAAAGGACCAAATTATATATGGCAAGACTGCTGTGATAAAGGGGACAATACTGTATTAGTAAAGCTCTGTGTTGGCCAGCCAATACAGTGTTACCTTAAGACCAGAAGTCGAGCCATAGCATTTTCATGCAAAGCCTCAGGGTTGAAAAGCAATTGCTATTTTTAGGTCCAGTACACTCAATAGATAGTTTTTTCATTGAAGCCTCTCATTATGCTAATTAAATGATTATTCATCAGCAATATATATAATTAATAGTTCACAAAGGAATTGATATATTGATTGTGCCTTACTAAGTCTGTCAGTATTTGAAAGGCCTAATTCTGAAGCAGAAAATACACCAGCCCTTGCCTTAAAGGAGTTCTAATTTACAGTGATTGTATCAAGCTAGCTTTCCTTCCAGCTGCATGTTTCTTTCTGTTGATTTTGTTTTAAGTACAGGAAAGTACTGTGCACTTACTCTTTTGATGTTAAATCTCAGTTTCCCCCACTCTTAAAGACGCATCCACAACACACGTGAATCAGGGTGCTCCTACAAACATGACTTTATACTTGCAGATGATGTGGCTGAGATCCACAGGAAATATTTATCTGCAGTAGCATAGAACTCGATCCAGAGCCTTATGAGGCCCTTTCAGACTTAAATCTCGTGTTCCCGCACTGTTAAGGCTATGCAGTGGCCCTGCAGCGAACAGCAAGGTGCTGCCAGAACTAGGTCAGTTCTGGGGAGGAGACTGTGAAATGGGAGGCGGGAATGAACAGCCAAGAGAGAGTTGGCAAGGACTGATCCCTTCATTAAAGGGAGCGATGGGGCCATCTGGGTCAGCTGAGCCTGGGATGGGAAAGGGGAGAGGAGGAGGCATCCAGACACCCCTGTAGGGTGGCCCCTGGAGAGGGGCCAGCTGCAGTGGGCAGCAGAGCTTTCTGGAGGTGGTTTTTGATAGCAGATCTGGCTGAGGATTTAGAAGTTGTTTTCACCTGTGTAGACCAGTCTTACCTTGAGCATGGCATTGGCGAGGACACTTGTTCTGTTACAGTTTTAAATACAGAGCTCTGATTTGAAGTTAAATTTGTGGCACGCTACTTCTGAATTTTAAAGGCAAACCGTGGAAATTTCTTGCAGCTTATGAATTTCTTTTTTTGCTAAGAAGTGTTCTGAAGGTGGCACCCTTTAAATGACAATTAGACAATTCCTATCTCCATGTGTCCTAACTAGGCAAGTTTGAGGAAGCGGTGTTGTTTTGAACTATTTTGATAATGTGTGGTTTTACCAAAAGAATGTGAGATAAACTTTCAAAGAACTCTATACACACATTCTGATTAAAATAGTCTCTTGTATCTAGTATAATTTTCACTACATAAAAGTTTTAGGTCAGATCCTGAACTTGTGAATATCAAAAATAGAAATATTGAAGCAATATTATCTTACATCTCCTATGAGATGATCCTTAAGGCAGAAACTGTTGAAATTTGCTCTGGAGTACTTAGATATTTTAGCGTTTTATGATTCCCTACCCAGAAGCACAGATTGGTGATAAAAAGGCACTTCATCAGCATTCAATGCCCATTTGATGGTCTGTGTAAAATAAATGACAATTTCAGTACAATTAGCAGTGCACAGATACCCGTATCAGAATTAGTTCTCTTCCTCGCTAGCTCCCTTGGCATGACCAGAAAGACAAAAGCCTTATAAAGCACAGGAGGTGACACAGTTTCTTGCAGCACGTGATTGAGAGATGACAGTTGTGGGAAGAATTTGCTGGGCTTGCTGTTGAGATAAATGAAAAACTTAATTTCTCCTTGTTCCATACCACTTCTCTGCAATGTTTATCAGGTCCTTCCTCAGCACAGTGAGCACCACCACATGAAGGCAGGAAGGTGCTGTTATCCTCCTTTTACGGATGAAGAACTGAGGCACAAAGGTGCCAAGGCCTGGTCCTACAAGTGCGTTTAGGTGCCTTTCTTCTACCCGAGGAAGTGACAATGCGTGACATCAAGTTATTTAAAGTTCTAGAATTAAGTGACTGGCCCAAAGTAAAATGGGAAATCTGTGGGAAAGCAGCCTCTTGAATCCATGTTTCCAAGTCTAGGCTGCTGCCCTAGCCACTGGGCCATATTTCTTCTCTGCTTAACACTTTGTCACAGAAGCTAAATTATTGGAAGACATTTTGTCTCTCTGGGCTTATGTCTGACTGTTAATGCAATATAATCCAGTGTTTATTCAGTTTTGATTGAATGCCTGTATGAATAGAAATAAATACAGTGTGTGAGAAAAAAAAGTAAATGATATCTAGGAATTCACTGAAATATATAAAGCTGAAAATTAATATGTACTGAAGTTGTAGGAAGCTGGAATGATTAGTGTGTATGAAGAAAATTACAGAGTTTACAGCCCATAATGTCCTCTTTAATCAGGCATTTACCTTGAGTCAAATTATAATGAATTTCATTATAAAACTTCTCCTTTTGAACTTAGTGTTCTTGGAATTCAGAAAATGGTTTGACTCTGTTTTTTGCTGGTCATTGCTCGAGCTGTTTATAGTGCAAGGCTCTTTCAGTCTTTGTAATTTTTGATCTTAAAGGCCATTTAACCTTTACTCTCAAGCAGTTTTGAGAATCCAGAATTGTTAACTGGCAGTACGGTGTGCGATGGCTTAGTCTGGTGAGCAAATTAGGAAGACTAGTTTGAGAGCACAAATTCAGCTTTAAAAAATTTGTAAAAGTGGAATGAACGTCCAATTCACTAGCCCACAGAGGCCGTATAATTTACATTTTCCTTGCTAAAATCTTCCCTAGGCCACAGAGCTGATTACAATGTACAAAATTGTCAGCTGCTATAAATGCACACACAGGAATTTTCTCTTCTCGCCTTCTCCATCCTCCTTTTCTCTCATCAATAACCAAAAACCTTCCTGGCACGACAATATATACTTCTGCCAACTTTTCAGCACACAGAGCTTTATGTCTGGCTTTTGAATTCTTGAAACCATATGTTTTCACATTGTCATGTGAACGCGTGACTCTTCTAGGTGTACCGGTGGCAATTGTATTATGCTTTATATACTTCATATATTTTATATACATAAGAAACGTGGGGCAGTGGAGAGCTGCCATGCAGTATAGAAAGCCTACTTAGTTAATGGAACAGAGTGCTCTGCTGATGGCAGCCAAGTAGCCTCAGCTGCCTCAGAGAAGTGACCTGGGTTTTCCTTATAGCTTTTCACAGATTGGCCCAGTCCAGCAGCATCACTCGTGTGTTGACAAAGGGGTGGTCTCTTCATGACCTTCTCCATCTCTGACTTCCATGGTTCAGTGCTGTATAGCTCTTTCAGTGCAAACCACTTCAGTTGCAATTTTTTTTTTACAATGAAATTTGCCCGAAATGAACAACAGCAGTACATGACCTTGAGACCTGATGACAGATGCATTGTTTTTTGATATTTCGTAAGCACTTCTATTTAGTACTCTACTTAAAATGTGCGCAAGTCATGCACAGGGTATCTGTGCATCCAAGAGGCCATTTTAAGGCATTTTCAGCTCCTTTTACTGTAGCCTAAAGCCAATATTAACAACAATATTAACTGGATCACTGTGTGCTATCCACAGCAGTGCTGAGGTTGGCAGTGCACAGCAATAAATGGTGGTGTTTGTACAATCCATAACTAAGTAAATTTCTCAGGAGGGAAGCTTTTGATTGTGTAAATACTACCTCGGAGAGTCTAATGAGGATACAACAGACCAGCAAGCCATGCATGGTCTGATGTTAAACTCCGATTTTTACAGTTTCGGTTGGAAGGTCTTAAAAGGATCTCAGTTTTATTAACAGATGAGAAAGCAAGCAATGGTTTGGTAAAGGATGAACAGGGCCAGTGTATATATCTGTCTAATACATTATAAAGCTGTAGAAGGGGATGTGACCAGAGACTTTGCTACTATTTCTTCTTTTGGTTGGAGCAGAACTCTTGGCAATTTATTGTAGATGGTTTTTGGTTTCTCTTTCTGTGCTTGCTCTCAACTTGGCCCTGCCATGCAACACAGAAATTGCCAGATGACAGGCTGGAAGAGTAAATGTAGTTCAGCGTGGATCTTACGTGTATGAGAAAAATTATATAAACCTGATCCTCATTTACACTAGAGATTCTTTACATCTCCCGTGGGACAGTTTTTTTCCTCACTACTGAGCCTACTGAGCCTTTTGTTGGCAGAAGCCGGTAGAAACCTGGGATTAATCTAGCTGTACACACACAAATAACAGGCATTAGAGAATGAAAAAAAGATCTCTAATTAGAGAACTTATATCTCTAATTATTTCAGTCTAGTTCTAGTTTTTTAGTGTGTGATTGTTCCCTGTAGTAAACTTGTTGCTAAACATTTGAAGGTGCTGGAGAGAATTTCCTAACTCAGATGCACAAAGTATATTGCAGAGTACCTTGAAAAATCTCTTACTGTTTTTGTGCACCTGTGCCTAGTAGCACAGCCATGAGGTATATATATATCTACCTGCTGTGTTCATGACACACCTTGTGTAAAGGGTTTTTCTCTGGGGACAGGTGAGCCTGCCCGAATATGATATCCAACAACTTTGTAAAATTGTCATTATTGTTCTTTTATACACCACGTATCTCTCTGTAGGAGGAAAATGAGTTTCCTTTCCCCCACAGAACTTACATGCTTCTTAGGAGTAAGGAGGTCATGAGTGCTGCATATTTTGGGATGCCTGAATAGTGAGAGACAAATGTTTACCCTCCTGCCAAACAGAAAACTGATTAAAAAAGAGAAGAACTTTTTACTTAAATATCACCTAATTAGGCGTAGCTCAGCAGTTATCTATTTTAATGTTGGCCTTTATAAAACAAAATGAAAAAAATCCTTTTACTCCTCAAGAAGTAAGTAATTTAATGTATCACCATAAAATGTTGGAAATAAGAGAAATTTCCGTTAAATTATGTAAAATATCTAGAGTACC